ATCACGTGTTCCCTCGAGCCCCCTCGTCGCCATCGGATCCAGTCTATGGACCACCCAACCCTCGACGGATTAAATATTTTCCGCTCCAGCCATCGGATTAACTATTTTCCGGGGCCGTCGCCATCGGATCCAATCTATGCCCTCGGGGGAGCCCTTCTAACTCGACATGATTTACGCCATCGGATCCGATGAAATCCCTCGTCGTTCATCGGATCCAGTCTATGAACCTCCCTGACAAGCGCGACTAACCATACTTAACGTGATTCACGTATTGAATTCGATAAAGTCCCTCGTCATTCATCGGATCCAGTCTATAATCACACTCGACATAATCTACCCATTGGATTCGATGAAATCCCTCGTCGTTCATCGCGACATAATCTACTCATTGGATCCGATGAAATCCCCCGTCGTCTATCGGATCCAGTCGATGGATCTTATACTCGATACAATCCCTCATCGGTCATCGGATCCAGTCTACGATCACGTATTGAATTCGATAAAATTCCCCGTCGTCTATCGAATCCAGTCGATGGACCACCTTAAACCAGCCCCCTTACCGAATATACTCGAAATGGTTCGTACGGAAAACGAACGAGCCTCGACGTCGATATAAATTGTAAACCACCTAAATAAGCTCCTTACTAATTAATTCACGAATCGAATTTTATAAAATATGGCTACTGACACGAAATCCTTATTCTTCCGTTCGTACTGTTATCCTTTTATTCTTGATATTTACACGATCGCTCATACTACTCTTATTCACGCCGATCCAACTCTTGATACTAACGTCAATCGACACTATACTCTTCCCACTTCGATATTTTATTATATTGATATTTCGTGCTTATATAATCATCGTCTACTCTTCTTTTCGTACTATTCTTTACACTAATACCTGCCGAAAACATTTTCGTTCTTCTATTGACACTAATCACACCCCTGGGGTGCGATTACGTTAAATGTTGGTTCGATTATCATTAAATTCCACTATATCTTGACGGCATTAATGCTTGACATAATAATTTTAATACGAACTGATAAATGGAGCGCCGTGACCAACAAAAGCGATATCTCAGCATTCGTACTGCATCTCGATATTTATATTTATCTTAATCAACATTGACGTCGATATATACACTTATACTATATCTTAATATTCCTGCTGCGTCTCAACATTCGCCTTAATATTCATTTTGATGCTCATTCGGCACACATTTCTACTACTCATCTCGATCGTTATATGTTAAAAGAATGGATGCAAATGAGCTATACTAATCATACTCGAGATTACTCGTAATCAAGCGTGAATAACGAGCCTCGACGTCGACATGATTCATGAATTGGATTCGATGACGGGAGTCTTTCATCGGATCCAGTCTAGAGACCATCTTAATCGCACTCGATATGCTTCGTAATCGAGCGTGAACGAACGAGCCTTGACGTCGACATGATTCATAACCAAGATCCTTCATCGGATCCAATCTGTGGACTATATATTTGGGGGGGTGGTTCCTACTTAATATCGATATGATTCATGAATCGGATCTAATGAGTCGTGGCATGTCATCGGATCCAGTCTATGGACCACCTAAAGTATATATATCTCTTCCCTATCCGCTTAGATAGAACTTTAATCAATACACTTCCATGGCTTATTTTCTACAACATTATCATTTAAACCATTCCTTGTCAAATCACGAATGTTATCGATTCTTCCTCTCGAGCGGAACGGGCGATGCTCGTCAGCAAGTTCTCTCGATCGAGTTGACGTAAAAATGGGGACCATCTCATTCGTTCCAGCCACGGGTTGAAGACATTATATACCCCTTCGTCGATTTTACTAAGCGGGGGGTGTCGTCTCGTCGACGGGGGCGTGAACTTCAAAATACAGTGACCCGGGCCCGCGGGGAAATAGTTGTTGACAAAATACCGTCTGCCATAGTGGTCGAGCGGGCGGTGCGGGTAACTCTCGTTGAGTATGACATCGAGCCCCGCATGGACCGCGACTACCGGGGTGTCGACGGGCAAAATGTACCTTCATACTCGTTTCATCGCGACAAATATATCGACATTGGTCGGGATAAATGTCACATCGTACCCCTTGAACCGGAGGGGGCAATGACGCAATCGGGTCTCGAGCCGGTTGTTGACACCAACGGTCGATATGGTCCCGATCTCGACGGAGATTCGGCCATGTCTGGATGGCGTCCTGCATCTGTTGGGCATCACGTCGCGCCCATCGATGGGGACGAGTTTGTAAATGTCGTCGAATCCCGTCGGGCCACACGCAATGGTGACATATACGACATACGGGTAACTGAATGGGCGAACAATACTCCCACACCTCGTCGACGTTGGGACGACGGACTTCCATATTATTATTCGCCGGGGCCATCTCGAGTGACCTCATCTCCGGAGACGGAACCCGATGATTCTCACGAGATATAAAACTTTCTTCGGGACGTATCGTCGGTTCTCGCTGAATACGGGCCTCTTCCGCTCGCGCTCGAGCTTCGAGCACTCGACGTTCTCGTTGTCGAAGACGAATTCGTAGAACACTATGATAGCGACGATTCACCAACCGTGAAACCACTTGTGCGTGCTCTTTTTCCTCCTCGTCGATCCGAGCGAGTCTCTCGTCGTAACGTCGTATAACTTCGTCGAGGTCCTCGTGACGCCTCGTCTTTCCATCATCGTCGTCGTCGTCGTTATTGTGAATCGAGTCGGTCGCGACGACGGAGCGAGGAATGGATTTGTAAAAAGCTTGCTGTTCAATTCGTAAAGATCGACGTAAGATTCGAAGTCGTTCTCGTCGTCGTTGATGCTCCTTCTCTTCTTCTCGAAGTCGACGTCGATCGTGATACTCGGTGAGTTGAGAGTCATCCGAGTCCCATACCGACGAATCTTCGGAGTAATTGTCGGCGACGATGGCCCCTTCATCAAGACCCTCGATATCGACGTCATCTTCGTCTTCGGTCGTATCGTCGACATCGTGATCGTTCTCGACTTCCTCGAGATCATCCAGTCGCTCGATGATCTGTTCCGAACGAAGAAATGCGAGATCAATATCGGGTCGCGGTAAGCCGTGCATGACGTCTATCGAATCCGGTTAAGAAAACAGAAACGCGGAAGAAAAAAACTTACCCGCTTCGGGAGTGACCGACCATCGACCCCTCGGCCAGCGAGTCCATTGGTGACACCAAATCACTTGATCGAGATGTGCGCCGTGATATTGAGCCACTTGATAGTTATAGTTCGACCACCATCGAAACTGCGTCCGACCATCGTTCTCGCGAGCGTGACTGACCAACGATTGATAACTCGGATAGGGGAGAAACCAAAAATTAATTCGAACATGTCGACGAAACTGACGTCGCCAAATTTGATAATGATCTCGACCTAAAATGTCGATGATGATTTGCCCACTCAACGTATATAACATTCGATACGGTA